ATATATATATATATATATATATATATATATATATATATATATATATATATATAATTACCGTAATAAAATCATCACTACACTGACAGAAAGATATCTAAAAATTAACAAATACTTATTAGGTGGGTAAGATTCTTTTCATTTAAACTGAGTATTGTTTACTCGGTTTAAGAAACGGTTTAAATGAGGAGAATTTTGATTTAAGTACATATGTTAATGGTATCCATAATAATAAATATTTGTTAATTTTTTAATATTTTTTTCTTAGTGTAGAATTCTCGTCATTATTGATTCAGGAATTGTGATTATCGTTGCTAATTTCTATTTCTGTATTCTGTAATAGGCGGGCCTCGAGTGGATCAAACGAAGATGTATTGCAGTGTCCAATATGCAAGGAAAGACTTAAATCACCCAAAATAACGCCGTGTCAGCACACATTCTGCCTCCAATGTTTGAAGAATCAGGTTGCGACGTCGAATAAGAGAGGTAAATATATGCATGAAAAAATACCATGTTTCCACAACAGCGACATAACCAAGCCACACTCGTACAGCTAATATTCTGATTATTCTTTCTGTATCTAACGAATTATTTCAGTCTATTAAGATAACATGTTTAGAATTCGCAATATTCAAAAATCTCCTATAAGAAAAATGAATTGTATCAATATCATTAATTGCGATTAATAATTGCTTTAATTTATATATTGATAATTTATATATTATATTGAATTTTACAATAACGTCACTATTATCGAGTTGATAGTTTGTCTTTAGTATATTTCATACACTTTTTAAGACTTGGCCTTACGTAAAGCAATATTAAAGTTAGGGCCAACATAAAATGCACGGTTTATGTATGGTTACATCACCAGTATTAAAAGACAGTTGCAATCATTCGTTATCTCATGATGTATCGTCCGATATATACTGTTGGATAATTTAATTTGTTAGTATCGATACGGACAAAGTGTGAAAGATAAGCACATCGCATGGGTGTTTTGTTAATTTTTTCACCGCTAATTGCTACTTAATGTAGAATCATCTTCGTTTTTTATGCGTTTTCGAGGCGTACGTATAAACAAAATAAAGTTCGCCAGAAAGTTTTCATCGTCGATGCTTTAATTCTTTTGAATTATATTTCCATGCAGATGTGTGGGATATATTATATATTGCGCGACAAACACTTCAGTGAGATTTTTTTGCAGTAAGTTCGCCGTCAGTAATTCATTTAATATCCTTCCGCAATTATCACAGCGTGTCTCACTTAATTTCCGCGAGTCCGAGTCACGTCGCAATGCAATTACGAGTGAAAGCATAATATTTTATTAATTACTCATGATAAAATTACATTACAAGTGGTAAGATTTATGCATTTTAGTTGCACTCAGACGAATAAAATCAAATGACTAAGATTCGTTGATTAATTCGCACTAATTAGTGACCTTTATTGCAGATGGCAGTTTTACCTGTCCTGTTTGCGACGCGAGTTTCGACGGTCGCGCGCCTGAAAATTTTCCCAATAATCTTTACATCGAATCGCTCTTGGACGTGATGGCGACCAGTACCAGAAAGCAAGCAAGACCGCCGAAGAGTACAGTGAGCTTCGCCCCTTTACCACCGAAGATAATCCGAAACCGGGAGTCTTCGGCGACGTTGAATTGTCGCAGATGCAGCGAAATCTGCGAAAAGAGATGCAGACATTGTAAACGCGTGAGTGTTCGCTAAATTATCTCTTTAAATGAACCTAAAGTGCTCATCAGTACTCGGGATTATCGTTGAGATTTGAATTTAGAGCGATAAATTCCAAGTTCCAATGACTAATTATGAACGCTAAGTTAGTTGCAATTAATGCACTGAATGCAATAACGAGCGCCGCATCGTGTCTCATTAAATTACATGTAAAATATGATTAATCGCAATTGAGAAATCGGTTGTTTGGCCAATAGAGCGCCAATGAAATGAGGTAAAAGATACATGCGTCCCAAATTACTTTAATTTACCCTATCTTTGATAATTCAATCATCGGTTGAACTGTTGTACAATTAACGGAAATCAACGTGTCAGTAGCAATCATAAAATTATTTTAAGGATCTCGCTCGTTTTTATATAGCGAATTTCACTTTAATAAACGATAATGACAAGCTGTTAGATGTCTTATGGAATTTATTTTCCAGGGATACTGCTATGCCTGCTGGAAAAAGCATGTCAACGAAGACTTGAGAGAGGAACTGGGTAATATAAACGGCGATCTCGAGACATCGGCGACGCGATTCGAAGAGAGAATTATCTACTTTCGGGTAATTGTAATTTATTAGTCAACTTATACTTGAAGCTTTCATAGAGACATAAAAACTCGGGATGTCTTTTGGATGTCTCTTAAGTGTAAAGATATGATATCTCAATTGGACGACGTTTTATCGTCGCATAACTCGTGCATGTATAAGTGAGCACTGAATTTATTCGGCGCAGAACAAAGCGAACGAGATGAAAGATTTCATCAGCAGGGACATCGAAGTTAAGGTAGCTGATCTTAACAAGAGGAAAGAGAATCGAATTAAGAAGGTAGAACACATAGTTACCAGGGGTGAGATGTCGGTGGAGGATATTAAACAAAGAATGGAGAAAGCTCAGGCGGCGGTAAAGGCGGAACGAAATGAGGTCTCTCACGATTTGCGCAGTAATGAGAAAAAGGTACGACTTTTTGAACTTCTATCGTTTGAAACGAAGTTTTGCGACGAAGTAAGAGCAACGTAAGCATACGTTATGTTTATAAAATTCGCATGAATATTGATTACATGATTATATTAGTATAAAAAATGCATGTTGGGAAATGATTACATGTCTGAAGAATCTAAGTTATAAAGTCAAAAGTGCATTTCACAAAGGAACGCATTTTAACAATGTATAAACTATACGACGCACTTTCATGTCGATATGAAAAATTCTTCTTTCCACTTTTCGTCACTTCCTACATCTAATCAATTTTACTTTTTCGCAAAATTCACGCGCGTGTTAAAAGCGTTAAACTTATTGCACTATATTTCAATACACCTATATAGAATAATATAAAGTAGAAAAAGCGATGTTGTGTAGAAAAAAAGTTATGGATAAAATCGATTCTTTCGACCCACATTTATCACGCAATACCACAAATTCGCCTCTGGTTTGATAAAAAAAGACAGAGGGGGAGAGAGAGAGAGAGAGAGAGAGAGAGAGAGAGAGAGAGAGAGAATGAGAGAAAGAGAAGGAGTTAACGAAAATTATCGAATGGTCGAATATAGTCCATTCTCGAGTTCGTGTCCTCTTTTGAGTTAGACGAAGTAATCCGACTTTTTTTTCTACCCTTCTGGCATTTAACCCCCGTTCTCTCCGCCGCATCTAAAATCTGGACCAGCGCCGTACCTGTCCCGTGCAGGACGCCTCGCAGTATTGATTACTTGAGAGGAGGAAGGTACGTGGAAGGGGGTGGATGGCGAGCACGTGGGGCTGGCCGAGGCGAGAGAACCGACGGCGGCGGGGTCTGGTCGGAATTTTCATCGTTTGCCGCAAAGCCAATAAGGTAGACAAAGAGCGAGCCCGAGACGTGGAAAAAACGTTGCCGATAACGGAAGCATTACGATACGCGGGAAAAGCCGCGAGAAAATTACTGCCGGCGAAATACGGCGCGAGAATCAAAGGGAGGGAAAAAGAGAGAGAGAATACCGTGGCTAATACTTCGTCGAATATAACGAGAGAAAATAAAATAACGATAAAAGAGGAAAAAACAAACAAGATAAACGGAACGGTCGAAACAACAAACAACGCTTTTTCGCGTCTTCCTTGCGCGAATCGAATCGCGAAAGTCGTTTCCGCGGATAAAATTATCCGGCGCGTTAGATGGAGGATAATTCCCGCCAAAACAATTGTTAATTAATTATCAGTTCGTTACGGTTTATCGCAGAACCGTCGTTAATAGCTGCGCCTTAGTGAAACCCGTGCAAGTAATTCCCGGACACAGTTTTCCGAAATACGGCCAAAGACCGATGAAAGCGTAAAATAAACATCGTGGAGCTCGCGCGTCGCAGTACTCGGTGACCACACTCGTACGCGAACGCGGAAGTGTGCCGGCTCTTCTAGCGTTAAATCGACTAAAAAAGCAGCGGTGACGATGAGAAACATGCCGCGAGGCGACAGGAGAGAAAGAGAGAAAGACAGAGGGATGCGACGAGAACGGGTGGCGAGGGTGGGTGCGCCAACCGATAGGACCTAACCCGGGATAGCGGGAGGATAATGGTGTTGGTGTATAAGGCACGAGCAGCCAGCGTCTGCTTCTGACAGCCCATTACCACTGTACAAACGCGGGCACGGCGGTCTGGTAGGATGGCGAAGGCTCTTCTGGGTCCTGTCTCTTTCTCCGCAACGTGGCTTTCCTCCTCTTCCTCCTCCTCCTCCACCTCCTCCTTTTCCTCATCCTCCTCCTCCTCCTCCTTCTCCTACTCCACCATCCGCTCCTCTCCCTTCGACCCTTTTACGTTCCTTCTCTCCTCTCTCTCTCTCTCTCTCTCTCCCCCTCTTTCTCTCTCTCTCTCTCTCTCGCTCGCTCGCTCGCTCTTTCATACGTCCCTCGCGCTACCCTCGTCATCCCCAAGGTATCGACGAAGATCTCCACCCCGCAAGAGAGCCAACCGGATAATGAGATACACTCTCGCGGCTTCGTCGCCATTGCGTTCTACGACGAACGAAAATGTGAAACCTCGGAGATACTTCGCGATTTTTCTTGCAACGCTTTCGTCCTTTTTCCAAGGAGAGTGGAGAGACGCCAGAGAGACGTCGTCTCGATTGATCTGATTTAATCTGTCCGACTTGCTTGTAGATAATTGCTAAGGTTATAGATATTCTGCAAAATCACAAAATGCATTGAGAAAAAAATAGCTAAGAAATAGATAAATATTTTTATATTAAAATAACGTATTTACTTAAATCTCTAAATTCTTTTATTTAAATAAAATAAACAATTGGTTTCATGAAAGGTTTGAAGAAAATGTATATTTTCTTGTTTAAAAAAATATTTTATATCGGTAAAAGTTAATATATTGTTTATATCCACCGAATAGATATTTATTATTTAGATTTCTTAGGTGTCTTTTCTATATCTTTCTCTATCGTGCGAATTATACTATAAAAGCAACTAGTTTCTCCTTTTCTCTCACAGTCCCACATCGAGTTTACTCGAGACAAATGCGTCCGAATTAATCTTCAGTGTTCAGCGGCTATTTAGTTGTCGACATCTCGTCTCCCGCAACGGCTACCTCGACAAATTTATCCCGAGAAAATATTCCAACAACCCCGTGTGTGATGTTCGACGCACCTGTGCGCGAGGAGGAGGTACTCGGGAAAATCCTAAAAGTTTTATCGCCCGACGCATTCGAATATCGATCGCGACTCGATCGCGGCCCCCCGCGTTCGCGGCGAACGTCCGCGCGAAGAAAACGCTCTTCGAGGTAGCGCCGCCAGTAAGAAAAGCAGGTTCCTTGGCTCGCGCACTCGTGCGGACGAGATGGAATCCATTCGGAATCAATTCGCCCTTGTACTCTCTCTCTTCCTCCCTCTTTCTCTCTCTCTCTCTCTCTCTCTCTCTCTCTCTCTCTCTCTCTCTCTCTCTC